AGGCCAGCCTGGGCTACCAAGTGAGTTCCAGGAAAGGCGCAAAGCTACACAGAGAAACCCTGTCTCGAAAAACCAAAAAAAAAAAAGTGCTTTTGTGTTTACTCCTTGACTGTATGCTCCTTCACAAATACAGTATTGCAAGTCTCCAAGTATATTAGTGATTTGGTGGTAGTGGGTCAGTCTACATAGCTGAGGCAGGTTTGAACTCTCTGTGCAGCCCAGGCCAGCACTGAACCCCCAATCCTTCCTCTTCAGTCTCCTGAGTACTAGGGTATATGAGTGCACTACCAGTTGCAGTTGTGTTTTGTTTGTTTGTTTGTTTTTCGAGACAGGGTTTCTGTATAGTTTTGGTGGCTGTCCTGGATCTCACTCTGTAGACCAGACTGGCCTAGAACTCACAGAGATCTGCCTGCCTCTGCCTCCCAAATATTGGGATTAAAGGTGTGCGCCACCGCCTGGCACTAACTACCAGTTGTTTGATGATTAAAAGAAATATTAGCCTTTACCTCTTTTCTTGTGCTGCTGGAGAGGGAACCCAGGGCCTCTATGAATACTACCCCTGAGCTGCATTCTCAGCTTCTTATCTGGCTTTCATGTCAGAGGTTTGTTTCATGTGTCTGGTGACTTTGGCTGTCTGCTCATTGTGTGACACTAGATGTTTCACAGAGTATGATCTTCACTGTGTGTAATCTGGCTAGCCTATTTCCTTGAAGAATTCTTCAGCATTAGTACTTTCATTTTCCCTCTTGGACTGGTCAGATGCCTTATGGAAGATTGCTACTGTCTGCCAGGCTTCTGGAAGCTGAGTGAACCAGCTGAAGGAAAAAGACCTTTAGGTTTAAAATTTCCTTAAATAGTTAATAGTTGATGCACAACCATCCTGCTTCTAGTCTAGTAATTCCACCTTCGCCTAGGCTTGGCTTGCCTCAGCAACAAAGCTTTGCCACAGAAAGAGCAGATGGAAAAGCGGGAGCTGAAAGGTGAAGAATACGATCTGATTGTTGGTTCTCGGTAATGGGAGGCTATGGATAAACAGAGACTAACTATCTGCTTCTTTCCAGGGCTCAGACTACTTAGGTTTCCTCACCACATCCTACTGAAGGCAGGTTCTTCCGCTCAGTAATCAGTTCTAGTGGCTGCCCAGGTAGCCAGCTGCTAGGTACGAGCTCCTGGTACACCAGGTGGCCGTGCTGAAGCTCCCTTGTGCATTAGGAGGAAGAAAGAAATCAGTTCTAGAGTTGTTAGCCTCTGCCCAACAGCTGCAGGACGAAGCTCTGGGCCACTTCTTCAAAACAGGAAGGAAACAGTCAAAGCCAGACCGTGATGAGAAAGCCAAATATGTTCTTGTGTGACAGATTTTGGGGTTTTGTGGAAATGGCAGTGCTCAAGTGCCTTCCAGCATGAATTTGTAGACCAGGAAATGAGAGCTTCCAAGGCTGTCAAACGAGAAGACTTCCAAGGTGCAAGCAGTAGATGGAAGCGGGTGATTTCTCCCCTTGTCACCTTCTTGCTAAGGAAGAAGTAGCTTCTCCAATGGCCAGCTGGTCATCGGCCCACTTGAGTGTCAGGGCTGTTGTCGCTTTCTGAGCAACCAAACTGTTTGATCTCCTTTTCTTCCATTTCTTTAAGAATAAAAAAGCCCACCTTATAATATGTCATAAAAGTTAACCATGGGGGGGCTGGAAAGATGGTTCAGAGGTTAAGAGCATTGGCTGCTCTTTCAGAGGTTCAACTCCCAGCAACCACATGGTGGTTCACAACCATCTGTAATGAGATCTGGCGCCCTTTTCTGGCCTGCAGGCAGACATGCAGGCAGAACACTATACATAATAAATAAATCTTAAAAAAGAAGTCAACCATGGTGCTGGAGAGATGGCTCAGCAGTTAAGAGCACCGGCTGCCCTTCCAGAGGACTTGGGTTGAATTCCCAGCACCCACATGACAGTTCATAACTGTGTGTAACTCCACGGTACCTAACACCTTCATACAGATATACATGTAGGCAAAACATCAGTCAGTGCGCATATAAAAAAAAAAGTCAACTATGTATTAATGCATTTTTCCTTTAGTTAATATTCACATAAAATCTCAAGGAATGTGCAATTAAAAATAGATTTTTAAGTTTGTGTGTGTGTGAGTGTGTGTGTGTGTGTGTGTGTGTGTGTGTGTGTGTGTGTGTGTGATGCCCTGGAGGTAGAGTTAAAAGCAGCTGTGAACTGCTCAGTGTGGTGGTTGTGAACTCCAGCAACGGCTCCTAAGTTCTGAGTTAGCTCTCTCGCCCCTAGAATATGTAGTACTGTCTCCTGCTTTTCAGTCTAACTTTCTGTTTGTTTGTTTCTGTTTTTTGAGACAGGGTTTCTCTGGGTAGTTCTGTCCTAGAACTTGCTCTGCAGACCAGGCTGGCCTTCAACTCAGAAATCCTCCTGCTTCTGCCTCCTGATATTAAAGGAGTGAGCCACCACTGCCCGGCTAGGAAAACAATTTTTAAAAGGAAAAACAATTCTATCATCAACAAAACATTAAGTTTATCTCTTATTTTTGAGACAGGGATTTCCTAAGTAGTCAAGGCCAACCTTGACAAATTCCTGTACTCAGGTCTCAGTTTCTCAAGTGCTGGGATTACCACTATGACCTGCCTGATAGGTAATTTTAATTTTTGTCATTAAAAATAAAACTGGAGGCTGGTGATCTGGCTTGGCGCTTAAGAGAATTTGTTGTTCTTTCAGAGGATCCAGGTTTGATTCCCAGTACCCACATACCATCTCATAACGGTCTGTAACTAGTCCTCGAGGACCCAAAGCCTTCTGACTTCAGTCGGTACCAGGTACCCACATAGTGCAAGCAAAACACTAACACACATAAAACATATGCGCACCATGGCCCAAGCTGAGTGAGCGTGCATGTGCATGTACACACACATACACACACACACACACACACACACACACACACACACACACACACACAATGTTAGAACTTCTAGATGGGTGGATGATATGTCTTCTAACTCTAGCACTCAGAGGCAGTGGCAGACTGTGAATTCAAAGTCAGGCCTAATTTACTTAAGAGAGTTCTAGGCCAGCCAGGGACAGATGGCGAGACCTTGTTTCACTAAATAAAATTTCTATAAATGTCTTTCTTACACTCTCCAAGTGCAAAATAGAAAATTATAGAAAGTAAATCAGTTTGTATTACTTAGGAAAAATCCTATTTGGATTAATATTCTACTGTGCAACTTGTGACTATTTTGATGAATTTCTGACTATTTCTAGAGAATTAATTGGTCAAGATTTGGCCATTTAAAAGCAATGTGTTAATTCATTAGCAATAGGTTAATTTCAACCTAGTGGATTTTTTTCTTTCTTTCTTTTCTTTTTAAGGGCAGGATCTTGCTTCTTAGCTCAGCTTGCTGGCCCTGAACTACTGGTGATGTAGATGCTTCGGATGTTCAAGTGATAGTATGACCGCATACTCCACCACACCCTGACGAAATTTCTTTTTTGAGGGGGTTGATTTTAGCTTCTTAACCCAGAATATGCCGGAAATCATCACAGCAGGCAGTGGCTGATTTCATTTCTTCTAGAAACCAACCCACTGAAGAAAGGCTTCAGAGCGCCAGCTCCAAGGAGAGACCAAACCTCCCCGTCCCGAGCCGGCGTTCACCTCATATGACGTGCCGCTTTTCCTTTAAAGGCCGCCCACGTGATCGCACACATGCGCACACTCCGGAGGAAACTCACGCCGTCAGGGGAGCGAGTCATTCTTCCCCCACTTTCCCTGGGGTTTCTGGCATTCCCTTCCGGAAACCGCAACCCCTCTGGAGACGTTTTCCTCATCAATTCCGTCGCGTCATCCGTTTTTATACTTTTCCGTTAGTCGCTGTCCCGGGAGTTCCCTCTCCACGGAAGGCCAAAGGGACTACAATTCCCAGGGAGCTCTGCGGCCGGTCCCCGCGCGCGCAGTGCAAGTTGGGTGCTGAGGTCCCACAGTCTTCTAGCCACGTGCAGCCCGGAGCAAGCGTACTACAGGTTCCGTGGCGCCTCGCGCGTGAGTCAGACGGGAGGTGGGGCGAGGCTGGAGGGGCCGGGCTGGTGGCGAGCGAGCGGGCGGTGGAAGGGGGTGGGAGCGGAGGCGATGGAGGGGAGGAGTGGGGGTATGGGGGAGGGAAAGGGAAGGGAGGCGGGAGGCGGGGCCGAGTGGGAGCCGGAGCTGGAGTCGGAGCCGGCGGTTGCAGCGGAGGCGGTGATGTCGGTGCAGGTTGTGTCGGCAGCGGCTACGGCCAAGGTGCCTGAGGTGGAGCTGAGGGATCTGAGCCCCTCCGAGGCGGAGCCCCAGCTGGGACTGAGCTCGGCGGCTGTGGGCGCCATGGTACCCCCGGCGGGCGGCGGGGACCCAGAGGCTCCAGCTCCGGCTCCCGTAGCGGAGCGGCCCCCGGCCCCTGGCCCGGGCTCGGGGCCCACCGCGGCTCTCAGCCCTGCGGCCGGGAAGGTGCCCCAAGCGTCGGCCATGAAGCGGAGTGACCCTCATCACCAGCACCAGCGGCATCGCGACGGCGGCGAGGCCCTGGTCAGCCCCGACGGCACGGTCACCGAGGCGCCGCGCACGGTCAAGAAGGTACTGTGGTCGGGGCTGCCTCTCGGAGAGGCGGGGAGGGCGGGCAGGGGAGCGGCGGCCCTTCGCGGCACGGCAGCACCCACTTCCACGCCCTCTAGATCGTGGAGCCGAGAGCCCTTCTTTTCCCCCCATGAACCGGCCCTCCGAGCCGCCGCCACCCGGTGCTCGGCGGCGAAGCCGAGCCTCCAGGTGCCACGGCCGTACTTCGCTACGGATAACATGGAGGTAGCGCTCTTCGCTACTACTTGGACGAGGCAGGGGGAGGAGAGGCACCTACTACTACACCCCCCGCCTTCAGCACACTCCCGCGTGTGATTTTCCGGGCTGTTCGGCGGCATAGAAAACCCTTCCCTCCAGCGATAAGGAGAGCAGGATCTTTTTCCTCGGAGAACGAGGAAGCAGTAGTTAGCGCTCACGAGAGCTCAGGCAACCCACTGAGTTGCCTGGCTTCTGTACAGAGGCTGACTTTCTGCCTCTCTGTAGCCAGCAGCTTTCCACAGGGCAGTACTGATCCCGCGTCCTTCCTTTCTAGCCCCTGCATTTCCCTGCACCGTGATTGTAGAAGGGTGATGGAGAGATGCTTCACTCTTAAGAGGTCTGCTCACCAGAATTACTAGATCATGGATGAGGAGAATGCTTATTTCATTTGTTGTGAGCAGAAAGTGTTAGGAAGAAATGCTGCTACTTTTGGGAAAGCGATCACTTGGGGCCTGTCTCAGCTGTCAGTTTTTTTGATACATAGTAACGTGTAATGATAGTACCCCATCTTATTCATGCCTTGACTGTCCTTTACCGCTCCCCCACCCCCGTTTTTTCTCCCCTTTCTCCATGTTAAGTCAGCACAGGAGGAAAAAGACAAGAGATGTGGACCATCTAAAAAGAATTATGGTTTTATTTCCTAGACACAATATGAACACAGATTTATATTTTTCTTCATTATAATGAGTGCATTTGTTCTGTCAGAACAATAAAAAGGATGTGAAGTCTACATTGGGTTTACTGTGTAGGGTTTGGGTGTATCTTGGATCCAACAAAACGTTTTGTTGGAATTACCTCATGACTTAGAGCAGATAACTTTTTCATTCTTACTTCCCAAATGTAGTGATAAATGGTGTCAGAGGCAAGACTGGAGGAATTTTAACAGTGCTTTAGGACATGCTTTGTCTGTCCTTAGCTATTTGGTGTCGTCTGTGTTAGCGTCCTTACCCCACCCTCCCACACCCCCACCCCCACACCCCCACCCCGCAATTATAGTTAAATGGAGGAATTGCAGTTAAACGAGGCAGCCTGGGCTAGGGCTGGAAGTACTTAGGTAAAAGTTAGGAAATCCAAAGCATATTTCTCACTAATTAAGATGCTTTGTAACTTTGACCATATCTTTTTCTTGTGATTATTTTTTCTAAAGTTTGTAATTCAGTTCTTTTAAGGGTAAAAATATTTAATAAATTACTTTTAGAGTGTGACATTTACACTCAGTTATAGACCTGGGTTTGAATATAGTGCTCCTTCTCCTAGTACTAACTTTTGGATAATTTGCAAATTTGATGTCACTTTTATAAAACGAGGGTACTTATTAAAAATGTGTTCTTCTCATAGAACTTGGTACCTATAATAAAATCTTAAATGATAGCTTTTATTAAAATTGATTATTTTTCTCCTTAAGGCTTAAGTATGACCCTGTGACCTTCTCTGAAATGTATACATATAGGTAATAGTTCAGTAGATTCTGTATAAAGAAGTTTTTAAAAAAAAACCACAGGCCAGCACCCTAGAGTCTGTTTTTCCTAATTCCAAATGTGCTTCTTGGACATTTTCCTTGTTGCTGAGCCACCTTTTTTCTGTTTTTTTTTTTTTTTTCAATATCAAAATCATGTTCCATGATTCTAGATTTACTCAGCAGCCTCAAGGCCATGAAGACAGGGCTGAACTTGCCTTCAATGTTAATTACACGAAAGAACTCGTAAGCAGGTGAAGTCCTGGGCAAGGATGAAGCTTATGACATAAGTGAGGACATCGCTGAGCTTAGCTTGCCTCCCTTCTTTCCTCTCCCTCTCCCTTCTCTCTCATCCTGCCCTCTTTCTCTTTCCTTGTTAGGGTCTCTCATATAGCCCAAGCTGCTTGGAACTATGTAGCTGAGGCTATCCTCTATAATCTTCCTGCCTCAGCCTCCTGAGTATGAGATTACAGCTGTGTGCCACCACCGCTGGCCTGAACTTTTCTCCATTTTTTTTAAAACAAGGTCTCAGGGACTGTAGATGTGGTTCTATTGGTAGAGTGGTAGCCTAGCAGGCAAGATGCTCCAAGTTTGATCTACAGTACCATATAAGCCAGGCATGGAGGTTCATTCCTGTAATCCCAGTACTAGGAAGGTAGAGGCAGGAAGATCAGAAGTTCAAACTCATCCTTGGCTGTATAGTGAGTTTGAGGCCAGCCAAGCAGATTGATTGGATTTGAACTAATGATTCTTCTACCTCAACTTCCTGTGTGCTGGGATCTGAAGTGTGTACCACCACATTTGGCTTGCCATTTTTGAAGAGCACAATCTTTAGTTTTCTTAATATTGAATTGACTACATTTTCTCCAAGTAGAAAATCACTCAACAAAGAACCAGTCATGTGATGTTTTGATTTGTTGAGCCTTTCTTGCTTCTTGAATTGTCTAGTTAAGTCATTCTGTCCTTGACTCCCCTCTGCTTTATTAAAATGTGTGGAGGGACTGGGTATACGAGGATTAAAATAGTTGCCTTTACCTATGTAAATGGTGACTGTTGCTTTTATTTTGTGACTACCAGACAATCCTTCTTATGTTATTTCATTTCCATTGATGTTTTCCCCTTTCCATTTGTGTATCAGTTATCAATTTTCTTGGTCCCATTACTCTGGTCAGCCATACAAGGGAAGTATGTAAGAGTCAGACTTCCCAAGTTCAGTAGTCATAAGAATGAAAATAATGGGGTGCAGGTTACCTGGCCACATTTTACCTTTGGCACCTGCCTTCATCCTGTAACTTGTGGTACTCCATAGGCCAGATCTTGTCATTGTGGTTATGATATATCTGTTTTTAAGGTTCTCTTTCATAAGGGAACTCAGCAAACATCTCTGAAGTAGTAATTTATAAAATGGGAAAATAAGTTCCACTATGAGTGAATGTAACAGCAGTTAAGAGCATTTCTTCCATGTGTTCTTAGAAATGGGTGCTAGCACAGTAGAGAAAACAAGGCAGAAAGGATTTCTGAGAAGTTAAAACTTCCTGACAAGAAGACTCCCAGCCTTAAGAACCTCAGCTAGTGTGAGCTTACGTTACTATCAGTAATGACCATGTTCAGACAGACTCCATGTTTTTCTTGGCAAACATATCTGCATTGTACTTGCTTTGTTGCTGTCAGGAGAGAATGAGTTGAGCCATGTTAGCGCTTTCTTGCCCTGAATTGTTAAGCCCTCCATTCAGTTAATTATAGATTACTGAAATTGAGTGTTTTGGATAGAGGCATGGGAATGTGAGAACAGTGTGACTCCCTTGCCAGTTAGAAAAGTACAGCCTGGCAAAATGTTCAGTAAGGCAATTGGCAGTTGGACCCTAATAATAGTTACCATTAATTGGCCTTTTATGTGCCAGGAATTGTCATAGGTATTTCTGTAATCCTGACAAGAACATTATGAAATGTAGATGGCATTATCTCAGTTTTACTGATGAGGAAATGTGGTTCAGAGAGGCTTAGTGCCTTGCCCAAGGTTATACATCTAAAAAGTGGCAGAGGTAATATTTAAACCTATGTCTGTCTGCATAGCCCATGCCTTTTTCATTGTGCCACACAGACTCTTTCTGAGCTCTTAGATGTTGGCCTCTGGTCTTCACCCAAAAGTCTGTAGATTTCTGAGTAACCTCTAAGGTGTGTCTGTCTGGCTAAGGCTTAGGTCACAAAGTGAGGAGAGTGAGTCAGGCTTCAGGAAGAGGATGGGAGAAAACTATACGAATGTAGAACCTCAAAGAATTGTAAAGTTAGAGGATATGAAGAACATTTAATAAAGGGAAGCATTTTTAACATCAGTGATATTAGCCTCCTATTTGTAATAAACTTGTAACCTGATAATGTATCCCCCACTCCCTTCTTTTTGAGTCAGGGACTTATAGTTTATCCTAGGTTGGCCTTTTTAGCTCCATGTGCCACCCAGGTTAGCCTCAAACTCCTTCTATTTCTACCTCCTGTGATTATAAGCATGTGCCATCATGCCTGGCTTTATCTTTATCTTTAAAGTTATGAATCTGGTGACCTGAAGAAAAGGTTCCTTTCTGTTGATCCAACAATTTTCTTCTGTTCTTTAAGTCCCTCCACTATGAATCAGTCTTTGATTAAAACTTTTGGGAATTAGAAAGGGAAGTATACTGTTAGGTAATTTTTTAAAATTATTTTTATGTGTATAGGTGTTTTGCCTACATGTATGTCTGTGTACCACTTGTGTGCCTGGTGCTGAAGGAGACCAGCGCAGGGCTGTAGACTGCCTGGAGCTGGAGTTACAGCTGGTCTAGTGAACCACCCTGTGGGTGCTGGGAATTGAAGCCAGGTCCTCTGGAAAGCAGCCAGTGCACTTGACCACTGAGCCATCTCCCCAGGCCCCTTGTTAGGTGGTCTTACTTTATACTAGGCCTTGTACTTACAGCTTCATGAGTACTATTTTACTTAATCCTTTTAAGAGCTCTTAAAGATAGTACTCTCCTTGTTTTATTGAGGAAACAGAAATTAAGACATTTGTCTCAAAGTTACCCAGCCATGTATTAGAGTGAGAAGAAACCTAATTTATTTGACTGTGGAGACCAAATTGTGTATGTTTTCAATTGCAGGCAATTGCTCTAGATCGAAATACCAGTTGTGTGTTCCATGCCTTGAGGAGGACATCTAGAAAAAAGTTTTCAGTTAATTGAAGAAATTAACAAATACAAATAATAGTCTACTTTTTCTTAATGAGAAAGAGGGAAATGATCTTTATTCAGAGTCTTTGTTG